ACAAGTAGCCTCAAAAAGGCAATGTGTTTTCTGAGCCTCCAACTTGCTGTAATTAATTTTGCAATTAAAAATAAAAATTTTTGTTATGGAAATTTTCAAAGTAGAATAATGTTATATATGCCCATGACCCATGGAATTAATTAATAATGGTACCTACAGCTTTTTGGATACTCTGTATCTGGCATGGTTTAAAAGGTACATTTCATGTATTACCTTATTTAATCCTCACGACAGCAATAGGCAGGTGCTGGTAGGTGCTAGTTAGTACACCATTTTGCAGGTGAAGGTCTTTTTTTTTTTTTTCCTTTTTGTCCTCTTTCGTGACTGGTAACGGGATCGCAACCCTCAGTGTTGCACCCGTACCGCGACCGGCAACGGGATCACAACCCTTGGTGTCGCGCCCGCACCGCGCTCAACCAGTGAGCGGACCGGTCTCTATATGGGATCCGAACCCTCGGCGAGAGCGCTGCCGCGCACCGCACTCTACTGAGTGCGCCACCGGGCCAGCCCAGGTGAAGGTCTTAAAGACTGAGTTGAAGCTACTTGTTTGAGTTAGCAAGGATATGATGGAGTTTAGAGTCAAACCCAGCCAACCTGGCTTCAGGTGTCACAGACTTGATTCAGCTGGGTCTAGGAAAAGCAGGTCCTGGTCAGGTTGAATAACTCATGTTATTCAACAGAGTGTGGGCTCTAAAAAAGGTGGGAAGGAAATATTCATTGGCATTTTAAAAAATTTTATTTATTCATTAAACTTTCTTGCTGGTTTTCTTATATTTCTTATCTAAAGAGTATGTTTGGGGTATTTAACATGACTTGATTTTCCAACTAGAGAAATCCTGAAATTTTTCCTTCTGGGCTAAGGTCTCTGGTTCTGGACTGAATCAGATTTGCCCTAGAATGTAGCTAATATGTCGTAGGAAAGGAGTGTTACGTATCTTTTAAACAGTCACATAAAGATGTACAATCTTTAGAATTCAATTTTTTCCTGAAAGATGTTTTTGTTCAAATTTGGATTTTTAGACAAACTATTTTTCTGAAATGCTTTGTTTTACTGTAGAATAGATGCAAATATTCAACTACATTTACGTATCCACTCATTGGTTAGGTTTCTTTTTTCTTTCTTTTTTTTAGGTGGTAGTTACTGGAAACTAGACTTATTCCACATAGAAGATTGCTTTCTCCCTCTGTTTCCTTCTCTCTTTAAAAAGCAAGATCTGCTGGCTGG